TGTTACTTGACGTCAATAAAAAGTTAAACTTTTCGCACTCCTTGTTGTTGTGCATAAATTATGAATTCACTAACAGTAAATTACAGCAGCTTTCACACGCAACCTTATTAACACCTCGGAGATATTAATTCTTTTTTTAATCAAACACGAGTTTTTTTGCTGAATAGAATACAATAACACTTTATAACATTTGTGTAGTAGGAAACTTACCGACACTGCTGAATATTTTCCTTAAGCCTCTGAGAGCTCCACTTCACAGCACTTAACCTTGGCAATCGTACGCTGCCGTGAAGACGGAAATTTTTACACTTTTCGATTTATGTAAATGAAAAGCAATATATATAAATATTTACTACTGCAGTCACTGGTGAACTGCTCAATACATTGGCTGTAAGTTGTTTTCATTCATTTTTGCACAACAGTTTTTCAGTATGTTTTTTATTGCTTCGATTTATTTGCACTCAAAATACTGAATATTTATTTATTTTAACTTGTAGTTTGTTTTTGAAACTGTATTCCTCAATTTTAAAAATTTTCACACATATTTTTTTTATGCTTGGTTTGTTTAAATTTTTAAGAATTATACTGATTATCTAAATATATTTTTTATATGTATTTTAATACTTCCAACTTGAAAATATTTGCTAAAATATAAACACTTCTGCTCTAAAAGTAGCAAAATCATCAGCTTATAAACAACAATTCACTTATTCAATATTAGCTGTTTTAATTTTCGGCGTCGATAAACAAATTTATTCCTCCCCAAAAATACACGAACTCACATTMTTCAAATAACTTTTTGTTTAAATTTTACGCTGCTATAAATTTTCGCGTTTCTAAATAATTGTTGCTTAATCAGTCAGCAGTCACAAGTGCGATAAAATTTTTTTTTTTGTTTCAACTCATGCCTTAAATAATTACGTTATTTCTCTTGGTTGCAACACTAACTCTTGACTTCCTTCAATATAATGCTTTAGTCTACCGCATTTGAGAATTCCTTTAACTAACGCATTGCATTTCCTCCAACTACCTTCTTCACAACCGCTGCGCTAAAGGCATCCCGACGTACTGAATCGTCGCCATCGAATTGCTTCTTACTTTGGCACRCCGTGRCGAATATGAAAATATTGCTKCTGCCGGCGTTGSAGTCAACGTACTAAATCYGYTACTAAATGCAAAGCGTAGTAGAAAGAGTACTTTAAAAAAGCAGCAAAATGTATGGAAATGCGCTGCTATTGGTGCAGAAAAATGAAAGTGGTTTGTTGAGCGGCAGTACTTTTTATTACTCTTTTCCATAAGCAGCATAAACACATGCACTTACTACCCTTATCCTCTGAGCTTTCTCGCAATGCACACAGTTGAATACAAATTGACTATTTTTTAATTAAATATGGCTCACTGGTGCCTCTGATGATTAAGTATTTCTGAATATAAACACAATATTATAAAAGGGAAAGTCAAATTAAATAAACAAAATTTATGTATATATATATGTATATACATATAAATTTACATCGATTACGTTTTTTGAACTGCTTTTTTTTCAATATGTAAATATTGATGAAGATAGTTTTTAATATGAAAACTTCATTTTGGGTAAAAGTTCCTTTGAAAATTAATTCTCGCTTTCGGAAATAAATTCGACGAAATGTTCGGAACATATCCGCAATTTTGGATACTGGATGCAAGTGAGAGAGGTGGTTTTCTTTTATCTTACATGCTCATATGTTTTTAAAATAAGCAAGCAAAAACCTCCAGAATACTTTTGAAACAAGGCTCCTATTCAAAATAACGAACAAGCGCGCCCACTACGTGATTTGTAGRTTCTATATAGTGTGTAATATATGTCTTACTAATAAGTTAGTGTTTCTCGAAGATAATTTTTAATAAAAATGTAATTACGTTTCGACTCTTTGACTCGTGGCACCACCGACTTTTAGTTGAAAACGCATGCCTCGAGATGCGCCTGACCGATTTCAACCAAATTTGGTACGTGAAATTCTTATGACATTCTGCAAAAATTTGTCACGGGAAACTGAAAAGAGGAGAAGAAACCAATAAACTTTCAATAAGTAGGCTGAGCTTATCACAAGAATTGTTAAAAGGTTTCCATTTACGACTTTCAGTCATATAATAAATGAATTGCAGATGCAAATGTTAACTTTAAGATAAGWAGAAGGTAGATCTCTGCTAATCTAAATGCGAGTAAGCTAAGAAACGTTGTTTTTTTATTACTTTTACACTTAAAGCGGCCGCTAGAAAGCTTGTTTGTAAAACAACCCCTGCGATAAAGATTGTTCAGTTTAACTCTGATAAGAAAAAACACTATTTCAGAGGTTCCCCTTATCAGCAGGTCAACGTAAAATATGCAACGAAGAAAATAAGCCACGGAATCCTCAATCTAATGGTTTGGGGATATTTTTCGTGGGGGGATGTTAGACCTCTGGTAAGGATTTCATAAACTATGAACACTATTTATTATGTTAATAACAATCTGGAAGATCTTGTTCAAAAACCAAAAGTGGATAAGTCGTAAGGACCTAAGACATGTCTCGAAAGGATCTAAGGAATGGAAAAAATATTTATATCACAAATTGGTCTGCATTATCTTCAAATCTGGATCCAATGGAACACCTCTAGGCGGGATGTAAATAAATGGTGTGAGTGCGGCCGAACAATAAATTTGCACTAATTGTAGAAAAGTAGCTAAAAAGGCTTTGGAAAACATACCCCTCTYTCTAAATAAAAATACTTTTGGCATAAGTTTTATTCATGGATTTTTAGGTTCGCTTTGGTTGCCCTTATTATTTCGTCTCGTCGTTACTCTCTGCTTGTGAGTATCACTTARAATATATTTCCATTGTGTTTTTCTTTCGACTAGCACACACATATTAACTAAACCAAATATAATCATTTCTCTTTCTTARTGAAACCTATTTTCAGTTGAGAGCAGCTGTGGAATGTACATCTAGTCACTCAATTTTATGCTCAGAATACATGAAACACTAAATTTCAGCTCATTCGGGTGACTCATCGTTTAATCGGTTCTCTTAGCACAACAATCTCGTTATCTCTTTGCTCTCAGGACMCATAACAGAGCTATGTACATATAATGTATGCTTTTTCTATGTTGTGTTTGCAGATTCGTAAACAAAATTCTATAACAAGTGCTTTATGTAGATTCCGCATTTAAATCTACATACATTGTGTTCTGTACAGTATATCGCATAGTCTATGTAGGTGTGTTTGCGGATTTTCATGTTTTGCAGTATTTTCCACAAAAAGCAATGCTTTATTAACGCACGARATGATCCATGATGGTCGGTTATGATCCATTTTTATTTAAACTAACACAAGTTGCTTAAAAAAAATGCCATATCTCATTAACTAATAATTATAATCTAACTAATAGAAATCATATAGATGGTAGTAGTAGTATTATCTATGTATCAGCCCCAGTAAAACGTGGACGGGAAAATAATAAAAAGGAGTGTATAAAAAGAAGTCTTTTTCAAAATAGGGTAAGGCGATATTTGTGAGCACATACACATGTCTTTCGCACCAAAAATACCGAAGGTACATAACTTGTGTAAGTATTAGCTTAAGATAGAAAGTTTGTAAGGTTACAAGCGCAGAATGTTTTGTTGTTCTTTAAAATTTTGCTTATGAACTTATGATACTTTTCTTTGGATGCATGAAAATTTAAATAATTTTTGAATATCAGTTCATTCCTGGTTTAATCAACTATCTGAAATAAAATGTTTTCTTGCTACACTGTTATTTTGTGTTGCTGATTAAMATATAATATATGTGCAAGTTGACCTTTTATAAAAACTGCTTTACAATATAAATCTCTAAGTCTCTTTCTCTAAATTAAAGATTTCCATTCACAAAATATTTCAATTCATTATTTAATTCTAAACAACAGAACAGCTTATTAAATTGGGAGACATTGGGGGAATGATTAAATCTTGTCAACAGCCATCCATGTATCACATGCACGTATACATGWTTAATACGGATAATTATATACCATATGTATCCATATATGTACCATATTATATTATATCGTCTGGTTATGTATTATATCATTACAATCTGCATATATGGTACATACATATGAATGAAGGAAATATTTACTAGCTAAGCTATTTGTCATTTTACGACGTTTATGGTAAATTAGGAGTGAACAATAAGTGCATCTCGAAAGTTCAAAATTATAAAATGGGTTTGCTTATATTTCAAGTGAATTTCGCGCTGCTGTTTAGGTATAAAAAGTACAATATGACCCAAGTWATGATCTTGTTCATCTGTGTACTTCAAACAATATTATCTTTCTGCAAAATATATGTGGTTTATCATAAATGTATTCTTGGGGTTCTTCCTTTAATACACATAAAAAGTCGTTTGAAAAGTTTGCAGAATATGTGTCGAGATTTCGACTCCTGTTTCCTGAAAAATTTTCCAATATAGAACAGTATAGTATAAAGACATAGCCCCATATATAATGCCTTGAATGTTATAAATATTAAAGAAATTAATGAACTAGCATATTGTAYAGTTTACAGTTTAATTTTCGATCGTGGTTTTAAAAGTCTGTCTTCGAGTCTCATACAAACTTTTCCTTTTGCAAAGAATTCATTTCGAGGTTTAAAGGAAAATTTAATGAGCAATGTTTATTATCAATCGAGGAACATTATTTGGCATTTATTTTTTTATTCAATTATCTCTTTCAAATGTTGGCCGCGGCTACGTCTCAGATCGTCCATCCATTGAGTCTAATTTTCGATGACTCGTTCGAGAATTTCAACTGGTAACTGCTGACTGACACGCGTAATGTTTTGCTTCCAGGCCTGAATCGAAGAAGGATTGCCCACATAGACTTTCGACTTTACCCATCCACACAGGGAAATGTCGAACCGTGCGATACCACACAATTTTKGTTGCCAATTGACCGGCCCAAAACGTGAAATTATCTGCTGACCGAAGTGTTCTCTCAATAAATCCATTGAAGTGATGCCGTCGCGTTGAAACTAAATATTGCCGAGGTCACGAGGTTCAATTTAAGGCATCAAATAGTCGGTTAACATGGCGTGAAAATGGTCGCCACTGACTGTCACGTTCGCACCGGCAGCATTTTTGTAGAAATACTGGCTGAAAAACTTCGTCGTAAAATGTTGTTTCATACGTCAGTCCGATTTTCTACGAACAGCACCGAATCGACTCTCTACGATCTTCGTGTTCACTCTCAGTTACGGCTAGTATATTTTCTTCACTGCATGCTGGACCTGGTCCATTCGGTCGAATATTATTCAATAATGAATTCTGGGCCTCAATATTGGTGATGGTGTTGCGAATAGTAGCGCGCGAAACACAATCTTTACAGAATAAATTTTTACACAATAAATTTTCTTATAAAAGTTGAACGATTTGTAAACGTACTTTGACCGCTGAATACAACCCCTCCTTCTAAGAGGATTACTCGTTATAATACAACTTAATAACAACCAATGATAATTATTTTGTAATTTAATATAAAATTAGGGGGTGA